ATAAAAACTTAAAAATGAATACATATATATATATATATATTCAAATATATATAATTAAAAGACATATACATATATATATATATATATATATATATATATATATTAATATATGTGTATATATCTATATGTCTTTACATTTATAATTAAATATAATTTCATTAAATAACAAGAGAGTTCCAGTATATAAAGTGTATGTGTCTTAGTGTAACTACACTATCTATGGCATATTTTTTTTTCTAAATTTGTTATTCAATGATAACGTAAGACGAGTTATTCTAAAACAACCTAAATTCAGTTAAATTGTAAATGTATACACCTTTCCGCAAAATTTTAATTTTGGTAAACACTGCACGTTAGCAAAGGCTAATGTTAGAAACTTGAAAGCTAAGCATAGGAAAAAATAAAACTGAGAAGCGCCATGACATAATTTTATTCTCAATAAATAATTTTCAATGGGTTTCGAATTTAACTAGCCGTTAATTATCGTTATTTTTTTTTTAAATAGCAGACACAATGTGACTAACTATTGTTCTCACCTCGTTGACATTTGCTGTAAACCAAATAGAACGCGAAAACAAGGATGATAGTCCCAGAAATGATGAATGCAATCATTATTTCTTTACTCAATTTTGTGTCATCGTTGACTGGTTCTGATGAAAAAGAAAAACATGTAAAAACAACATTGTTTAACATATTGACGGTGCCTTAGCTTTAAAAATTCATCCCTAGAATGAACTTCAGCTTTAAATATCTGCAAACACACTTCACCGATTGGCTGAACTCGTTTTTACCCTCAATCTGAATGAGCTTTGCAGCTAATTCCTTGACCAAATCAGTAGTTTTTCTAAGGGGACTAAAATGTGACTCAGCTAAGCATGTTTGTTAAAAAGAGAAATATTTGTTTAAACATTTTTTCTAATTCAAAACAGCACATGGGTATTTACTTCAGCAATAAAAAAACAACCAAAAAAAAACAACACAAAAATTAGTTAAAAGTACACTTGTAGTATTTATGGATGACAAATTAATTCGTCCATCAGGCAATATATATATATATATATATATATATATATATATATATATATGAAGAGTCGATTTTCAAAACGCGGTATCTGCCATTTTGAAAAAAAAAGAAGAGAAAACTGTACATTTTGTAGAGCAATCCAGGTTCCTTTAGGATATGTTAAAGTTAATTTACAAAACACATTTTAGTACTATATTATTCTTTATCTAAAAATGGTTTTATTTTCTACACGCGGTGTGCATTTTTTTAAATTTTTATTATCAAAATGCTGTATATATTTTGGACCAATCCGTG